AGGCTGAGGCGGTCAAGGTGGTCGTGGGGGAGGAGGGCGTAGAGGCCGGGGGCATGGCGGGAGGCGGGCGGGCCCGGGAGGACCAGGTGGATGTAGGAGAGGATGCGGCCGATGAGCGCCTCGAGGTCGCGCGGGTCCTTGCCCCGGCCCCGCCACAGGCTCTCCGACGCGCGGTCCATGGGGACGGGCGGCAAGAAGGCGGCCATGGCCACCGCCGCCGACGAGGTGTGGTTTTTGATGAGTTGAGCGCGGCAGGGAGAGCGAGGGGTGGAGGCGGAGGAAGGAATGAACGAAAGCCTTGGCTTTTGTGTGGGGGCGCGTGCTTCTTTTGTTCTGTAGCTAGCGGTGGCGGGCTGCCTGTGTGGAATGTGGGAGGCGGGTTTCAAGTTTGAACCACTACTCGAGTTGGGTTCCCCTCTTCCCGCTCGAATTTTCAAATCCGTTATTCCAATTCATGGAGGATATGCAAACCGCAATCATGCCACAGCACGCATTTTTTCACTTCCAGACTTTCCAGTACACCCACTATGAAAGTTTCTAACCCTTCCCTTATTCTATAACTCTATAAAATCTCTCCTAAAAATCAAGGAATTAAAATACTCCCTCCATTCAAAATATAGTGCGTCCACGCTTCCCGAAGTCCAACTTTGACCATAAATTTAATCAACGAGACCGACTGCGGCGGGAGAAAAAATTTATATAATTAAAAGCTTCTTTTGACTAGGAATTCGCTAATATAACTTTTGCTCCCGCCGCAGTCAATCTTGTTGGTTAAATTTATAGTCAAAGTTGAAGTGCGGGAATAGAGGAAGCACTATATTTTGAAACGGAGGGAGTAGTGTGGAGCTGAGCTTGCCCCCAAATTTAACTCTGCAAAACCAAAAACGTGCACAGACAAGTCACTCGAAACTCAAAGACCACCGTGCTTAATTGCACATAACCGACCATAATTTAACATCATTGTACTGATATTAAACTAGTTACAACTCAATTATAGCTAATTAGAACCAGAAAGAGCTAAGTGTAAACTAATCATCATCGGAGGAGACATTGTAGATAACTAGCGTCGTGCTCGAGCCCGATGCCTCGTCGTCATGGGTACCCCTCAGCATCTTCGCCAACAGCTCATCATCAGCGTCACCGAGGCCTGCGATGTCAGGGTGTGGGGTTGGAGGCGGAAGGAAAGAAAGTCATAGAGGGTATATACCATATGAAAGCCGCAATTCACAACACATGTTTGCACGTCTAGTATAGCCAGCAAAAATTTTTGCTATATTTTTTCTTAGAGTAATTAGCAAAGTGAAAACTACCACAATTTAGATTAGGGTTTCAAACACGTACTACTACTTTATTTTGTTTGACAAATTACTGCTCCTTCCGTTCAGAATTACTTGTCTCGGAAATGGATGTATCTAGAACTAAAATACGTCTAGATACATCCATTTTCGCGACAAGTAATTCCGAACGGAGGGAGTACCACTTTGGGTCTAATTTTTCTTGCAAAAAAATCACTAGTGGCCATTTGGGCCAAAATTGATCCCAATTGTTACAGGTATGGCCTGCATGTAAGAGATGGCATAAGACTCTGACAACTTGGACCCACCCAAAATTGAGCCGGGGCACTTATTTTCCATACTCCGTCCGTACCCATGTGCTTCGTATCCACCCTCACGGACTTCGACAACACAGTTATACCATCCCGGGTCTGTCCAGGCCTTGCCGGACCTTCGTCCCTCCACGGCTCCACCCAGATGCCCCGCCCCGCTTTGCCCACTCCACCGTTCCACCCTCAGTTTGGCCGCCACCCATATAACCTCCGCCCTGTTAACATCATCCATGGAGGACACCACGTCTGACTAGTGTTTGACCAAATTCCATGGCCAACTTTTTTATGTTCTCGGTGTTTATCTTGAAGCAAACACAACGCAATGGAGTCGAACAAGGAAGACTGAGTTCATGGATTCGTCTTCGTCGGATGAAGATGAAGATGATGATGTGAGCGGTTGTTGAAGACACACAGCGTGCATCGGAGCAGGTTCTCAACTTCAAGGGTTCAACAAAGGGACATTGAGTGTTGAATCGGCAGCAAGCATGGGGTCATATGATGTTGTACGACGGATACATTGACCTCGATGCACTATTCAAACCCCATTGTCGCCGTCGTTTTCAGATGCGGCGCCATGTGTTTGAACGCACCTACCAAGGTGTTAGTTACTTCAAGCTGAAACGCGATGTTGTTGGAAACATTGGGTTCTTTGTTACCTAAAGTTCACGACTGCTATGAGGATGCTTGACTATGGCACAACCTCGGATTTATGGGATGAGTACCTTCGGATGTGTGAAAGCACATGCCTTGAGGCCATGGTCAGATTTGCTACTGTTATGGTCAAGGTGTTTGGACCGGAGAACTTGAGAGAACCAACTGACACATGCACAACAAGGCTCATGGTATGGGAGAATCAAGAGGGTTTTCAGGTATGCTCGGATCTCTGGATTGTATTCACTAGAAATGGAAGAACTAACCATGTTCTCAATGGGGGCAATACTAGGGCCATTGCAAAAAAAAACATCATCATTTTTGAAGCAGTTGCATCACAAGATCTCTGAATTCGACACTCTGTCTTTGGCATGTCTGGATCCCACAATGACATTAACGTGTTGCAACAGTCTTCATGTCTGCAAAGTTGTGTGCGGGTGAAGCTCCTGTGTGCAACTACCGCCGATGATCATGATTACAATATGAGGTACTATCTTTATGATGGTGCCTATCCTCCGTGGGTAACCTTCGACAAGATCATCTTTGAGCCAAGAGGTAACAAAAATGTCACTTTGTCCAAAACTAGGAGATAGAAAGGATTTGGAGAGCACATTTGGAATGCCCCAACCCCGTGCTGCAGTTGTTTGCGGACTTGCTAAACCATGGGGTGTAGAGACGTTGTGGGAAGTGATGACAATTTGTGTGATCATGCACAACATGATTGTGGAGAATGATGGTGAGGGAGTTCTCCAAGGTCTAGAATTTCAAGTAATGGCCAATCCTATCCAACTTCCAGAATAGAATCCGGTGATGTTTTGAGTTTTTTCTCCAAATGTCTTAGCAGATTTGTCACCAAGGAACTCATGAGAAGATTCAAAATAATATGATTGAGCATCGGCAGGCGTTTCAAGGAGATAACTAGAACATATGTCCGGATAAGTTGAATTTAAATATGAATATTTCATTTCAAAATTTTATGTTTCAATTGTTATATTTATATTTGAATTACTGTTGCATTATTTCAATTTTCAAAAGACCCTCCACGACGGTGATTTCATGCAAGGCCGGCTCACACACTTGAAGCCACGTAGTAGCAAACCAAGGCTCGACATAGTTGCATGGATGCCAACATGTCTTTGGCGTGCTGAGGATATGTTCATCGGCCACATATCACGGTGCACAATTTAGTTAGTTTATTACAGGCATATACATTCTTTTTAGGGGAGGCATATATGTTGGATTGTAAATCTCATTGGTTCAACTGAGCTACGTTTCATTATTTTACAACCTCCTTGGCTCATAGCTGCTTTTCCACAATTCATAGTTCACTATATAGCTGAACAGAAAAATAGTTCACGGCAGCCTTTCCAAAATCTACAGCCGAACCAAACACACCCTTGACGGTGTCAATCTTTTACCACCTTCCATGTATAGCTAGTTGCCCAGGTGGATCATATGTCATAAGGTATAAGGAGATTTCCGTGACATGGTCGTGAATGACAGCAATGATGAGTTGGGCCAATGAAGTGACGAATGCATGCCCGATGTTGCTGCCAGTGTCGTATACCCGGAAGTCTGAAGTCTATGATGTAGATAAACTTAAGTTCAACATTCTTCGTCAGAGGTCGATATGTCCGAGTGGTTAAGGAGACAGACTTGAAATCTGTTGGGCTACGCCCGCGCAGGTTCGATCCCTGCTGTCGACGGTAAAAGTTTTTTTTTCTTTGTAGACTTCTGTGCGGCACGGTGACTTGGCCGAGCAGAAAAATCAATCCCTGCCGTCGAACGTTTTTGGCCCCGTTTGATTGCTCTGTTTTTTCTAAGTATTTTGAGAATACTACAATATTTGATATTATCATAGTTTTATTTACTAGGGGTGTTTGGCTGCCACTAAAAATGATGCTTTTAATACTGCAGTATTTGCAAAACCTTGGTATTTTCTCTGTTTTAAAAAAAGAGCTCCGGACCTCTTTTTTAAAAACTGAGCTAGCGAAAGAAACGCCTCCATGCCCGGCTACTGATCCCTGCCTCCCGTCGTTTCCCCCTCCAGCCCCATCGCGCTAGCCGTGAGGAACGGAGCGAGCAAGTCATGCTGGGCTGCTGGTCGAGCTTGCTACTCACGCGGGCGGCCACAAAGCTGAGTTCATGCAGCACTTGCTCGTGCCATGTTTGTCCATCGGTGCCGGCCACAACACACGAGTATCCATATAACCAACTAATCATCTATGATCAACCAAACCATTGATGAGTGATTGCAGTTAGTTAGGAACACACGTGTTTGTAATGACTATCAACCGGCTAGCTAGCTAATTTATCGTTGCTGGCTTGCTGCGTAAAGCAGTAGCCAAACAGGTCACAATACTTCAAAATACTTTGACATATTAAAATTGTGGTATCTTCTACTCGTGGATAAAAATACTGTAGTTTTTCAATACTTTGGTTTTTGCAATACCTTGCTATCAGAAAACCATCTAGCGATAAAAATACTTTGGTTTGTCAATACTTTAAGTTTTTGTTCTTTGTGGACTTCTGTGCGGCACGGTGACTTGGCCGAGCAGAAAACCATCTAGCGAATAACATTAAGACCCTGTCTGATAGCAAAGAACTATAAAAAACGAACAGCAGCAGTCTCCTTCACCGCACGCACAGGCACGTAGAGTTCGGCAGCAAGAACGAACAGCAGTAGATAATAGGCCTAAACATGTAGTACTAGAATATATGGATCGATTAGACTAACGATGATGATCAGCTGCAGCGACGGCGGCGCAGTAATTAGCATATGGATAATGAGAGAGTAGAAGTAGGAGGGAAAAAAGGATTCGTCCTTTGCAAATAGCAAGAACCAAGTTGTTGAGCACAACGGGGAAGAAGATAGCGACACCAGTCCCTTCTTTTCGGCTGCTCGGTTTTTTTTAAAAAGTCTAGGTTTTCTTTTATGCAGAGAAAAAC